GGAGAGCGAAGTCTGGTTATGTAGGAGAATAGGAGTGAATGACTAGGCAACTAGGATGAAGGCCAGGCAATATTACAGATTTACTTGAGGTTAGTGATCATATATTTATTTAAAGTAAGACCAGTCAGCCCCCTTCAGCTGTGAAGATACAGGTGCAAAGTAGACAGAAATTTGGATTTATTTATTTATTATTTATTTATTGATTTCAGAGAAGAAGGGTGAGGGAGGGAGGGAGGGAGGGAGAGAGAGAGAGAGAGAGAGAGAGACATCAATGATGAGAGAATCATTGATTGGCTGCCTCCTACTGGGGATCAAACCCACAACCCAGCCATGTGCCCTTGACTGGAATCGAACCCCGGGACCCTCAGTCCACAGGCTGATGCTCTATCCACTGAGCAAAACCAGCGAGAGTGGGATTTGGAATTTTAGAAGATTGTGGTTTAGCCAAGGGAATATGATTGTGATAGAGGGCAAAGGAGTTGAGGATGTGTGCAAGAAAGAGTGATTATTATATTTGACTCTGGAACTTATGATGAATAAGATGGGAAATGAGGATATGAGAGGTTCTGAGGCTCAGTGAAAAGGTAGTACGGTCAATGGATTGTAGGTCCTGGCAGAGTTGAAAAATTTAGAGACGGCATTAGATGGAGGAAGTTGAAAAGGTAGAAGAATATGGAGGGAGAGTGTGCAGGGGTTTGCAGTTATGATTATAGTGAGGTCTAGAGTTTGACCTCAAGAGTGAATGGAGGAACAGTAGGCAAGGAATTGAGAAACCAAAGTATTAGAACAATTATGCAAATAGTAAAATCACCAGGACACTGATAGAGTTGATCACTTGGCCGAGGTAGTTTGTCAGTTCTCTCCACTATACAGTTATATCAGTATGGACTCATGGATGTTTATTTTGTAATTTGGATTATAATTCATGAGTATCCAATTATTGTGGGTGTTTTTTGTTGTTTTTTTTTTAACACGTCCTTACTTTCTGGCACTACACGATTCTCCAGGCTCATTTTGTATAGTTCCTGTCCCTGTCCTAGAATCAGTTACTTCTCCAAGGAACCTAGTTAATTTTTTGGACAATGGTATTAAAAATGGAGGTCTGGCCCTGGCCGGCATGGTTCAGTGGTTAGAGCTTTGTCCCGTGCACAGAAGGGTCATGGGTTGGATTTCAAGTCAAGGGCATGTACCTGGGTTCCAGGTTTGACCCCCAGTTGGGGCCTGTGCAATCCATGTGTCTCTCTCCCTCTAAGGAGAGCTAAGGATTTTGGAATTCATTATTCAGTCAACATATAGGAAGAAGAGTTAGAAGGAGGAAAAGAAATTAAGTTATTTTGACAGTTCACTGGAGGTGTTACAAAAGCTTGACTAAAGATGCTGGCTGTGGGAATGGAAATGTGGTTGCAGGTGTAATACAGAAAATGGTCAAAACTTGATTATCGATGAAGTGTGGAGTTCAAGGATAGAGTACTTAAAGATGAAGCTCAGATTCCAGATGTACCTGAGCCAGGATATTTGGGAGGGTGGTTGTGTGTTAACACATATAGTGTTTGTGTGTTTTTTAAAATGTTTTTATTGATTTTTAGAGAGAAAGGAAGGGAGAGGCACAGAGAGATAGAAACATCAATGAGAGAGAAACATCTTCACTCGGCTGCGTCCTGCACACCCCCCACTGGGAATCTAGCCAGCAACCCGGGCATGTGCCCTGACCAGGAATCAAACTGGTGACCTTGGTTCTTGGGTCGATACTCAACCGCTGAGCCACACTGGCCGGGTACATATAGTAGTTTAATGATACACTTGAGGTACTGGTGCCACATTTGGTGGAAGTATTGAATAGGCAATTGGAAAAATGCTCCTAAACTTCAGAAGAGATGGTGGGTCCAGAAATTAAATTAGGAGTCATCTGAGTAGAAAGGGTGGTTGAAGGCTGAGGATTAAATGAGATTGCCAAGGAGGGAGGTGTAGAGAGTGAAAAAAAAACAACAACTAAGGACTCATCCTTAGGGAACTTTCTGTGTTGACAGGTATGGAAAAAGAGGGAGCCAGAGTAGGAACTTTGGTTAGAGACAAAGTGAAACCTGAGAACAGTCCAAGGAGAAGGGAGTAGGGAAAATACTTATTGTAGGGAAACATTTGAATTACAGACTCTATTTAATAAAAAGTTGTACATAATTTGTAAGTTAAGTTATATGCCAATAGATAAAACAATGCAAGTTAATGAAAGTCATTATTTTGCAGGAAACCTGCATTATTATATCGTTATATTATAAATAGAATAGTTGTTTAGCATTGAAAAATATTTTGTTAGACTTAGAGGTTGAAGAAATCTTTTGATAGTAGAATATTAATCAGTTGTCTTCTTAATTGGAAGTCTGGAAGTTTTGTTGTTGTTGTTTAATCCTCACCTGAGGACATGCTTAGAGAGAGGAAGGGAGAGAGAGAGAGAGATCAATTGGTTGCCTTCCGTACATGGCCAAAGTGTGTGCTCTGACTGGGAATTCAACGGGCAGCCTTTCAGTGCATGGGGGTGACACTGCCTTGAAGGTTTAAAAGATAAGGAATTTTCTTTTTTTTTTTGTTCTGTGGGAAAAATCTCTGCTGTAACTGATTGGACAAATTCTGAATAGTGAAATTTTACCGAATTTGACCATGTACCTTCAACACTTTTTAGTATATTTTCGCAGAAGTATGCATAAGTAGTCTATTAGGGATAAAAATATCTACAAATGTACTGTTGCTTTTTCCCTGAGTAACTTTTTGATTTTATCCTTTCCAGGATTTGACTGGCATAGAATCTATGGATCAATGTCGACATACCTTGGAACAGCATAACTGGAACATAGAGGTATAACAGAATTTATTCTGAGCTTCTTTCTTTCTTTTTAAAATATATTTTTATTGATTTCAGAAAGGAAGGGAAAGGAAGAGAGGAATAGAAACATCAATGTGAGAGAGAATCATTGATTGGCTGCTTCCCACACGCCCCCCCACTAGGGATTGAGCCTGCAACCCGGGCATGTGCCCTTGACCTGAATCGAACCTGGGACCCTTCAGTCTGCAGGCCGATGCTCTATCCACTGAGCCACACCAGTCAGGGCTGAGCTTATTTCTTTTTCCATGGTCTAATAATGATTCAAAGACATGTATTTTTCCACAGCTGGAATCTTTTCTTTTAGTAGAGCTGGTTTTCAAATTTCTAACTCTTTAAGTCTTTAAAAATGAATGTGTGGACCCTGACTGAGTAGCTCAGTTGGTTAGAGCATTGTCCTGATAGCAAGTGTAATCCCTGGTCAGGGCACATACAAGAATCAATCAATGAGTATATAAACGAAAGCATAAATAAGTGGAACAACAAATTATGTTTCTCTATCTCTTCTGTCTCAAATCAAAAAATGAATGTGTAGCGCGGCCGGCATGGCTCAGTGGTTGAGTGTTGATCTATGAACCAGGAGGTCAAGGTTCAGTTCCCAGTCAGGGCACATGCCCAGGCTTGATCCCCAGTGTGGGGCATGCAGGAGGCAGCCGATCAATGATTCTCTTTCATCGTTAATATTGCTATCCTCTCCCTCTCCCTTCCTCTCTGAAATCAGTAAAAATATATTTTAAAACTAATGGGTAGAAAAAGTGAAGCTTTATGATCAAAGTTTATAAAATAGAAAAGGTAGTGACCAAATTCCTCAATATAGTGGCTACTCCCTGTGTGTGTGTGTGTGTGTGTGGCCAGATAATTATGGCCACCCCATCAGTACTTCGTTGGGCCACGTTTTGCCTTCAAAACTGCAGCGATTCTTCTTGGCATTGACTCCACGAGATGTTGAAAGGTGATGCGAGGAATCTGACACCATGCCTGATGAATAGCACCGTCCAGTTCTGTGAGATTTGATGGTTGTGGAACCAGCTGCCTGATGGCCCTTTTAACTTCGTCCCACAAATGCTCAATTGGATTGAGATCTGGTGATTGTGGGGGCCACCTAAGGAAGGTAAAGTCTCCCTCATGTTCTTGAAACCACTCCTGCACAATACGAGCACCGTGGCATGGGGCATTGTCTTGTTGGAAGAAGCCATCTCCATTGGGATACACCATCAACATGATAGGATGAACTTGATCAGCAATGATACTTAGGTATGTTGTGCTGTTCAGCCGTTTATAATGATCTGGCCCTCTAGCAACTTCAGAGCGAAATTATACCTAATCTGCCTACAAACGTTAGGTGGTCATAATAATCTTGCCACTCAGAGAGAGAGAGAGAGAGAGAGAGAGAGAGAGAGAGAGAGGGAGTGTGTGTGTGTGTGTGTGTGTGTGTGTGTGTGTATTTAATGGCTCTTTGGGGGAAAACTTGTTTTTTTCAATGTCAGTTAATAATGGTGATAGCAAACATCTTGTCCTCACTGTAACATCTCTTGTTTTATTATTACTGTGATTACTGTGATATTGGTGGTTGTTTTGAGATAGATCCATTTGAGCAGAGATACTTGTTTTTACCGGTTTTGTTAACTAGTATATTCCCCCATTTCCTCCCTTCCCTTCTCGCTAAAAAAATCAATGGGAAAAATATCCTTATATCCTTGGGTGAGGATTAACAACAAAATAGAGTGGATGTTGAATTTTATCAAACACCCTTTGATCTCTTGAAATTACTGTTTCAATTATGGTATGTTACTTGAATAGGGTGCTGGATTTCTGAAAATACATGTATTCCTGAGTGAACCTGTTTCTGATCCATTAAATTTTAGGCTCTGGCATCCTACCAATGAATGAGACTAAGTCCCTACTCTCATGAAACTTAATTCTAGATAATTTGTGCTCATAATAAGTGCTATGAATGAGTGTAGGAAATGTAATAGGATCTAAGAACTTACTTTGATTTATTTTCTTTTTTTGAGAAATTATTTTATTTATTTATTTAATATATTTTATTGATTTTAGAGAGAGGAAGGGAGAGATAGATGGAATCATGGATTGGCTGCCTCCTGCACGCCCCCTATTGGGGATTGAGCCCACAACCCCGGGCATGTGTCCTGACTGGGAATTGAACCGTGACCTCCTGGTTTATAGGTAGATGCTCAACCACTTAGCTATGCTGGCCGGGCAAGAAGTTATTTTAAATAGGGTGGTCAAGTAAGGCTTTTTTGAGGAGGTTACATTTGAGCTGATGCCTGAATACAGATGAAATGAATGTGCCTGAATGTGAAAATTTTGAGGGAATTGCATTTGAGGCATAGGGAATGATGTTGCTTTACATGATATTTTTGTGCTATCTCCTCATTAGATTTTCACTTCAAGCATATGCTGGCTTTATAAAATGACTTTACTTGATAAAATGAGTTGAGAAGTATAAATAGCATAGATTTGAAAGAAAATACTTGTGCCCGGCCAGTGTGGCTCAATGGTTGAGCATTGACCCATGAACCAGGATATCAAGGTTCGATTCCCAGTCAGTCACATGCCTGGGTTGTGGGCTCAATCCTCAGTAGGGGGCGTGATGATTCTCTCTCATCATTGATGTTTCTATCTTTCCCTCTCCCTTCTTCTCTGAAATCAATAAAACCCTATTTAAAAAAAAAAGGAAAGAAAATACTTGTTTCTGCCTTTCTCTATGTTTTCCCCCATCATTCATAATCTGTTTCCTAGATCTTTCTTGGTAAGCTTTCTTAGAAAATGCTTTCTTTTTAGAGATTTTCAAGTTTTTTAGCATAAGCTATACAAAGTAGCATATCTTTTACTTTCTTCTGTATCTGTCCTGTTATCCCCTCTTCTGTTTTTTTTCAATGTTTATTTTCCTTTTTTTAAAATGAGACTTGCTAGGGACTGGTTTACTTTCTTATTTTTTTTGTTTATGAAAAATCTCATATTTATCAGTTATTTTTTCTATGTTTTTATTTATTAAGAAAATTTTATCTTTAATCTATTTTCATGCTTTTGTAGGGTTATGTTCTTTTTTTTAGGGGCATTGTCTACATTGTATTCTCTTTTTTTGTTTTTGTTTTTTCTCTCTTTTTTTGTTTTTTCTACGTTGTATTTTCTGTAGGTGGTTCTCCTTAGGCTTGTACATTGAAGCACCTTACTTCCCAGCCACCCTCAATAACACAGGCCATCTGAATAAAAGCAGTGTGCTTGCTGCACAAATGGTGCTTCCAGACAGGTTCTTTGTACTGCTCTGTTGTGTGTGAATTCTGGAGTCATACCCCACATTACCTCCCACCATAACAAGTGAAAGGTCCAAGAAGATACACTTCTCAGGTTACCTGTTTTATAACACCAAGCAACAGTTGCCTCATCTCTTCTTCTCAGTTGATTTGAGCATCACTGAAATTCTTTCTACTCTTTTTCCTTCTCAGGCTGCTGTACAGGACAGATTGAATGAGCAAGAGGGTGTACCAAGTGTTTTCAACCCACCTCCATCACGACCCCTGCAGGTGAACACAGCCGACCACAGGATCTACAGCTATGTTGTCTCAAGACCGCAACCAAGGGCAAGTAGTGACTTCATCACTGGAATTCCCCCCTTTATAAGTCCATTCACTTGGTTGTGTTGGTCTCTGTGTGACAGGAGCAAGAGAGATACTCAGAATGGATAGCTGGACCTGGCTCCTTGGTAGATTTATTGGGTTTATTATTTTCCCTTGATTCTTTTTTCCCCTCGAGCCCACATTCCCTCCCACTTCCTTGATTCTTTAATGAAGTGATATAGTAACTGCCCATTTTGTGTGTGTTGGGGGTGGGGGGGTTCTTTGCCAGTTATTTGAAACAGTTTCTGCACCTTGTTTTTTGAGTAATTGTATTTACATGTCTAAAAATGTTTGCTACATGTTGACTAGATATTCTACTTTTTTGTTTTTTAATCCTCACCCAAGAATATGTTCTTACTGATTTTAGAGAGAGAGAGGAGGGGTGAGGGAGAGAGAGAGAAACATCAGTATGAGAAACATTGATCCTTTGCCTCACACATGAACCCCGACTGGAGATCCAAGCTGCAAACCTTTTGGGAATATGGGATGACACTCCAGCCAACTGAGCCACCCGGCCAGAGCTAGACCTTTCACTTTTAAGTTAGAATGTTTACTGAGTTCTTTGTTGCTTTATTTTACTTAATTTTAAGCTAATTCTAGGGAAATGCTTGGAATCTTTGTTGAGAGCCTTCACCATATCTTTAAAATTAGTCTTCAAGGGCTAGTAGCAAGGAAGTGGTACAGTTAAATTCAGCAGGCTTTAAGTGCTCCAGTGTACCTGGTATTTGGCTGCTGGGGATCCAGAGATGAATGATGAGCCAGTTCTCCCTTTCACATTGCTCACAGTCTAATTAGGAAGGTCAGATGTGAATACAGTACTGATAATGGACTCCAGAGAACTTTCTGGAGTTTCTATTTTTAAATATATATTTAAAAATATATATATTTTAGAGAGGAAGGGAGAGGGGGAGAGAGATAGAAACATCAGTGATGAGAGAGAATCATTGAACAGCTGCCTCCTGCATGCCCCCTACAGGGGACTGAGCCTGCAACTGGGCATGTGTCCTTGACTGGAATTGAACCTGGGACCCTTCATTCTGCAGGCCGACACTCTATCCACTGAGCCAAACCAGCTAGGGCATGGAGTTACTCATAATTCTTGGAGTTACACTCACCTCTTGTACTTGGATTTAGAATTCCAAGAAAGTACTCCCTTTAACTTTGTAGCAGTTAGAATTTCTTCCATCATTATACCTTTTGTGAGCACTTGACAGTGTTTTAAAATGGAGTTTCTAAGTAGTTGTTTTGGGGTATTTTGAAGTAGAAGAGCAGATGGATTCCTATAGCAATTGTATATCCCAGTGTTTCCTTAGTTTGTTTTTGGCTTGTCTCAGTGTTTTAAGCCCTTATGTTAGCTATGAGGCTCCAGAGCTCCCTAGCTATGGACACAGGGAGGGTTTCAGGTTAACACAATATGATATATAAGAAATGCTTTGTAAACTATAAACCTCTCTCTATATATGCTAGTTAATTACAACAGCAGCAATAATCAACATTGTTAAAGTAATAATTAGCATTATTATTAAGATTAGCAGCTATATGGAGATTTATAATTGTGGTTAATATAATTGTCAATTGTATACATGTCCAAGGCAGTAAAAGTTATCTTTCTTGCTATTTCTGTATACCATATTTTAATACGTAAATGTGAAAAAAGGAAAGAAGGAATAATTAAGATTTGGGGAGGAAAACTTGCAATTGAGTTTGTCAGCTAATATAAGTAAATGCAGAAAAATTGTTGGAGCAGATTTTAATTCAAAAATTGTGTGATAAAAGAAAAATATATGATAGTGTTAAATGAAATGAGATCAAAGACGGTCTTTAAGGAGACTGATGTGGCCAGGAAGAGGAACCATATTGCAAAGGGAGAAATCACATGAAGGACAAACAGAGTGAAAAATTGAACTAGCCATGTTGTAAGGTATTAGTGAATGAATGAATGGTATCTAACTTTATTTTTGGAATTTCAGGGGCTGCTCGGATGGGGTTATTACTTGATAATGCTTCCATTCCGGTTTACCTATTACACAATACTTGATATATTTAGGTACGTACCTTTGTATTTATGTGTTAGCAATAGGGTAGACTTTGGAGCGGAAAGGTAGACCAGAATAAGATTTATACTCTATCAATTTTGATTTGACAATTTGACATCAGATTGAATATTCCTCTTAAACAATCTTTTTATGAAGTATGAAAATATTTTAAATTATTCAAACATAACAGATGATGTGAAATGAAATTGTTTTGAACTAGTCTTGCTTACCGTTTTCAAGAATCTACCTACATTTATTATTATCTTCCCTCCTCCCACCATGTTTGTCACCTCAACATTCTCTAGTTAATTCACCCTTTCCTTTCTAACCACCATATCTACTAGCTTCAGATTACTTGTAACTTTTACCCTAACCCAGGGGTCCTCAAACTTTTTAAACAGGGGGCCAGTTCACTGTCCCTCAGACTGTTGGAGGGCCGGACTATAGTTTAAAAAAAAACTATGAACAAATTCCTATGCACACTGCACTTATCTTATTTTGAAGTAAAAAACCAAAACGGGAACAAATACAATATTTGTATTTGCATGTGGCCCGCGGGCTGTAGTTTGAGGACCCCTGCCCTAACCCATCTAGATAACTCCATCTGACTACTGATAATCCAAAAAAATTATCCTGCTCTCAGATTATTCACTTTTCTCCAGACTCCCTTACAAGTTTCACCTCTCTAGACACTCCTATACAATTCCTTCTGTTCAGGCTGATAATATTGGAGCCTTTCTGTATATATACCCCCTTGCTTCACACTTAACCTTTTTTCTTGCTTCCTTCATGTACCATTTGGAGAGCTCAGCACTAGAAGCTACAGAGGGGCCAGGGCTAGAAAATGTCCAGGGTTTCCAAATTGCTGGCACATTAGGTTTGGGTGTCTGGTCTAGAGCTGAGTAGTAGATGAACCCATACCTAGGCTTTATAGGGAACTAAAATGTTTATGGGCCAATAGGTAGAGCTTGAATCCGTGGTCTGGACCTTGCATATAGGACAACCCATACCTCCCTCAAATGTGGGATAGCCTTTGCCTTGCTCTAGGGCAGCGGTCGCCAACCGGTGGTCCTTTAGGTCCGAAAGGTTGGCGACTGCTGCTTTAGGGAACAGAAGTCTAATGTGAGGGCCCAGCAGCTGCAGAAGTGCAAGGGTCAGACAACACCTTTTACCTTGGTCATTTAGTGTCTTTTTGTTGTTGTTTTGTTAATCCTCACCTGAGGATATTTTTTCCATTGATTTTTTTTTTAGAGGAAAGGGAGGGAGACAAGGGGGGAGAGAAACATCTATGTGAGAGAGAAACACATCAATTGGTTGCCTCCCACACACACCCGAACTGGGGTGGGGGATCGATGGAACCTGCAACCCAGGTATGCCTTTGACTGGGATTCAGTACTCTGGCCAACACTCTAACCATTGAACCACACTGGCCAGGGCCATTTAGTGTTTTAGGAGCCTGCTTGCTTAATGGCTTTCTTGCTTTAGCAAAGTTCTTATAGATCAACAATTAACCAATTAGTACTCTTTTCATCTCTGTTTATTTAAGAATGAGCATGTAAAAACCTTTAAAATCTTAATGAAGACCAAGTTGATATCTATTTTTTTAAGCTAATTGTCCTAAAGTATCCTATATGATAAAACCCTAATATGCAAATCAATCAAACAGCGGAATGACAGGTCGCTATGACACTCACTGACCACCAGGGGGTGGACGCTCAACATAGGAGCTGCCCCCTGGTGGTCAGTGCGCTCCCACAGGGGGAGCGCCGCTCAGCAGAAAAGCTGGGCTCGCAGCTGGTGAGCGCAGCAGTGGTGGTGGGAGCCTCTCCTGCCCCGGAGGCAGCGCTAAGGACCCCTCAGGGGATGTCCACCTGCCGGCTTAGGCCCACTCCTCTCGGGGAACAGGCCTAAGCCAGCAGGCAGACATCCCTGAGGGGTCCCGTACTGCGAGAGGGCGCAGGCTGGGCTGAGGGATCCCCCTCCTCAGTGCACGAATGTCGTGCACTGGGCCTCTAGTATATTATGAGAAACAAAAAAGGTAAATCCTTTATCCATTCATTCATCAAAATGGAACTTAAAGACTAATAAGATAATCCTAAAACTAATTTCAGAGAAAGTTATCAAACATCAATCTTCTACAGGATTTCTACTCACATAAACAGCTTTTTTGTTAATTAAATTTATTGGGTGACATTGGTTAATAAGACTATATAAGATTCGAGTGTATGATTCTATAATATATCTGTATGTGCATTGTGTGCTCACCACCTAAAGTTTAGTCTCCCTAATGTCATCATTTATTTGACTGTACACAGCTTCTTACATTTGTTTTTAATTTGCTCTGGAATGTTTGTGTCAGTCAGTTTGATTTGATTACTCAGGAGAAATTCCAAGTGAAATTGTATACTACTACACATGAGGAATTTGAGGGGGTAAGGGATTGGAATTGTTTTAAGATTTGGTAAGGAAAGTGTCATAGTTTAGTCACCTTTTCTGTGCTGAAAATTTCTCAAGTATATGAATATTGTTTGTTTTCCATGGAAAAAAAATATGCATGGCATGTGTTACTAATTTGAAATATATATGTTATTTTTATTAATTTCAGAGAAGAATGGAGAGGGAAAGACAGAATCATTGATTGGCTGCCTCCTGCATGCCCCACACTGGGGATCAAACTCGCAACTCAGTCCTGTCCCCTGACCAGGAATCAAACTGTGACCTCCTGGTTCATAGGTGGAGGCTCAGTCACTGAGCAATGCTAGCCGGGCATGTGTTACTAATTTTAAGAAAATTATCATCCAAGCAACTTGTTTAATGTTATGTAACATTGCCTTCTATGGAAATCCAAAGGACAAATAAATGGTGCTATGCAAATAAAATAAGATGGGCTCTTTAGAAACAAACCATCCTTTATCTTACAATAGCTGCCAGGTCCCCAAATCTGCCAGTGCACTCTAGATCAATTGAACAGTCTCCTCTGAGGATGCCATCAACCATAAATCATCATGCAGAATTTACTTGCCCCTTTGAAGAGCAAGTAAATCATGACTACAAGTTCAGGTTTCAAGTTCCTGTCCATAATTCGAATAGCTTGGGAGTATGCACTAAAAATTCAAAATTCCTAGAGTGACTGGAGAACTGAAATTTTTGTTGTATTTTACTTAATTTAAATTTTGGTAGCCACGTGCCTTGTGCCTCCCATATAGATGGTGCCCGTATGGAGAGTCTGGGGCACAGCTTGATCCATGATCTTTTGGATACTGTGTCTTTCTTTCCCAGTTCTTCTAGCTGTAAATTTTTCTGCAGAGAGCACTCAGGGTTTTTTGGGTCAGTATTGAAATTTATAATCCTCGTAGGTCACATTCTTCTTGAATAGGTGATGGAACAACACTTGCTGCTTTGCAGCTTTTGAGCCAGGCTCTCCTCTCAGTTTTGAGGTCCACTCCCCACCTCCGTGCCTCCGGTACAGGGATCTTTACAAACTGGCCCGCCCACATGCACTGCAGTAAGCCAATTCATGTGATATTTATTCCTTCCTCCCCAGGTTTGCTCTTCGTTTTATACGGCCTGACCCTCGCAGCCGGGTCACTGACCCCGTTGGGGACATTGTTTCATTTATGCACTCTTTTGAAGAAAAATATGGGAGGGCACACCCTGTCTTCTACCAGGGAACGTACAGCCAGGTCAGTGCCACAAACCATATAGATGCCAATTTATTGATATGATTCTCTCCACAAAGGAAAGGAAAGCCCAGCACTGATCATGTCATGATCATTCTTTTACTGAGAAACCTTAAATTGCTCTTCACTATTTACAGAAAAAAGTACCAAACCTTCTAGCTGGGCCCTCCTTGATCTAATCCTAACCTCCTTTTGAGGTCTTACCCGCATAACTTGTTTCCCCAATATCCTAGGTTCCAGCTAAACTGCTTCCTGAATAGTCTGTACTTTCCCACCTCTGCCTTTGCTTTTGCTATTCCCTCCACCTGCAATGCTGTCCTCACATTTTTGCTAATTAGATCTTACCCATCCTTCAACCAGGTCATGTCATTCCCTTCTTATGCCCTTTAGTGATTGTTATGCCCTACCCTGGCCTACTTTGCGATTTAAGTAGTGCTTTCATAGTGTTGTTTTTAATCTTATAGTAATTTCACGTTTTTTTCTGTATTTTAGTTATTTGTGTCAGTGTCTTCTTTCCTATACCTTTGAAGGCAAAGCCTGAAGTCTTCTTTGATCCCTCACAGAGTTGAATAAGGGCATAGACCATAGATTCAAGGCAGCACATCTCATTAGCCCAAACCTCACCGACCTTTGACTTGTTACCTTGGGGTGAAAATGAAGAGTTCTATGGGTTTTAAGCGTATTTCTAGTTTGCCAGAGAAAAATGTAGAAATAACACTATAGACATAGGCCAAAGGGTAGTTGTATTCTATAGCCCCCAGGATTCCTAAATCTATCTGGAGAAATAGAAAAATGCTTACTCTCGCTTCCTGCTTTGATTCTCTCACATCTGCTTTTTCTCAGTCTCCCTCACTGGCTGCTCCCACCCCACTGGATAAGCATTAGGCACCTACTATATCAGTGATTCCCAAAGTGGGCGCTACCGCCCCCTGGTGGGCGCTGCAGCGATTCAGGGGGGCGGTGATGGCCACAGGTGCATATGTTTAACTTTTTTTGTATTACCTTTCTATTCTGAGTTCAATAAATAGTTTCATAATTTCAAACTTCAATGTTTCTAATTTACACCTTTCTTTACTATATTTTACGAAAAAGGTAGAAACATTAATACATATATCTTTCTGTTTAATTGCTATTAAAATTTTTAAAAAATTAATTTCCAGGGGGCGCTGAGTAATATTTTTTCTGGAAAGGGGGCGGTAGGCCAAATAAGTTTGGGAACCACTGTACTATATGCTAGTCATTGTGCTCAGTGCTAGAGATATTGAATGAGATTGGCACCTCTCATACACTCTCTCTGCTGTGATCCTGATGTGGAGGGTAGACCACCACTGCTCATTCAGGAAATCTTAATTGAATTGTAATGGACTACGATTATGCAAATGCAAAAGCACACACGGGAATCTTGGACACTAGCCTGGTCTTTGAAGATCTTTTCAACCCCATGCTCTTTAGAGCATCTTTGGGTCCCACCGTCCCTCATTCCTGCTTGGTAGATAGCCTGGGATCATCTTCACAGTATTTTTTATTTTCAAGGATGTCGGAGCTGTAAAGTGGCAAAATTCTCACCTCCCTTTCCAGGTGGTCAGACACTCCTGTTTTTACCTTCCTTTTGACTGGCAACAGCTGACGTCTGTGATTTGTTGGGGACCTTTATTTGTCAGCTGTCTACTCTCAGGTGCCTGATACAACTAAAATGTTTTTATTAATGCTTGTTAGCATGGACTTTGCATAGGGAGATAACTCCATGGGTGTGAGAGTAGTAGTCCAGGACTTTTGATTTTTTACTTACTTTTTTTCCTCATTTCTCCTTTTGTTCCTAAATGTATCTATTAGGACCCTTAGCCTAATTAAAAGCTCAAGGTACAGTCATCCTAATAATTAGTGATCTTCTGTTTCCCACAGGCACTGAATGATGCCAAGCGGGAGCTTCGCTTTCTTTTGGTTTATCTTCATGGAGATGATCACCAGGACTCTGATGAATTCTGTCGGTGAGTGGATGGATCATTTTCTTTCTCTTCTGACCTTATCTGCTGAGAGTTTACAGTAAGCAAGTTCTCTCCTGTCCTTTTTATCCCTCTCCACAGCAACACCCTCTGTGCCCCTGAAGTTATTTCACTAATAAACACTAGGATGCTCTTCTGGGCGTGCTCCACAAACAAGCCTGAGGGCTACAGGGGTAAGTTGTGTTTCTTCTGCCTCATTGTGATTGTTGGGATATCTTTGGAATAATCTGGAAAGACTTGCCATTTATTGCATGATTATTCTATGGTAGACACAATGTTAGTTGCTATTTATACATTATCTCATTTAATCTTCTCAGCAGTCCTGAGAGAGAAGGTTGTATTACACCTCCACTTCCTGGTGTAGGAAACAGGCTTAGAGATTTAAGCCTGTCCACAATCACACAGTTAGCAAGTTTTGGAGTAAGCTCAGGTTTTTTAGACTTTAGCCCATGCTTTTCTTTCTTTTTTTAATTAAAACATTTTTTTTCAATTACAGTTGACATTCAATATTATATTAGTTTCAGGTGTACAGCATAGTGGTTAGACATTTATATAATTTATGGAGTGATCCCCCCAATAAGTCTAACACCACCTGGCACCCTACATAGTTAAAACAATATAATTGATTATATTCCCTATGCTATATTTTACATCCCCGTGACTATATCTGCCAATTTGTACTTCTTGATCCCTTTACCTTTGTTCATCCAGACCCCCACTCTGGTCCATTCTAATAATCCTCACCTGAGGATATGTTTGTTTGTTTGTTTGTTTTTAAATTGATTTTAGAGAGAGAGAAACAAAAACATAGTTCTGTTGCCTTCCACAACATGCCCCAGCTAGGGATTGAACCTCTAACCTGCGTATATTCCCTGACTGGGAATTGAAGCCAGCAGTTCCTTCTGGTGTACAGGATGACTCCAACCAGCTGAGCCACATCAGTCAAGGGCTTGCCTTTAATCTTAATGGGCTTCTTACTGAAGAGCTTATTCTCATCATCAGTAATTTTAATAGAGCTTCTTGCACAATGAGTTAGTTATTTGAGTACCTTGAGTGCTGATAGGGATTCAGAAAGTTCAGCTCTTTGCTGATAATGACTCTTAAAGTATTTTTAGAAGTCAGTATGAAACATAAGGGCTTCCAGTGGAAAAAAAAAATGCAGTTATAGTGCAGCTACTTCTGTTCAGCAACTTTTGAGTGAATACTAGCATATCAGCCACTATGCTAGATCCTGAGAACCAAAGCTGCAACAGATGTTTGCCTACATCCTGGAATCTGAATCTTTACTCCCAATTGGTTTTTAAATGTCTCTAAGTTCCTACAGCATGCATTTGCCATGCTAATTAATACAGCTTTGGAGGGTGGATGGTGGATAGAAGGAGACTAAAGATATTTTTATAAAAACTTGCAAAATCTCTTAAACTGTAAGGAAATCATAGGTAAAACTTGTGGTAAAATCTTGGTTATTTAGAAGCCAACTTTACAAACGCCTTTGAAACAGAAAAGCTAGCTTTTTTTGCAGAGTGAAAAAAGACATGGTGAAAGGAAGGGATTGGATAAGAGAAGAGAAGAGAAAAGATGGTGATGGAAATCAGCACCAGTAGCATAAGGCTAAGACTTGAAGCCTGTTCCCTATAGGCTTGACCTCTTCCATAGGGAAAAATTATGCTAAGTAGTAGTTAGAGTTTTATAAACCCTTTGTTACCCATCAAACAGACATTGTCCTTGAACTCTGCAGCCTTCCCTAGCATCATTGTGACCACTACATCCCCACCGGGAAAGCCTTGTCTATTCTATAATTACCTGGGAATAGGAACACAAATATATAAGAACAACCACCACCACCAAAAGAAATTATTTAAGAAATAAGAGGGAGCCTGGCCAGTGTGGCTAAATGGTTGAATGTCAACTCATGCACCAAGAGGTCGCCGGTTCCATTCCTGGGTCAGGGCACATGCCTGGGTTGTAGGCTCGATCCCCATTAGGGGACATGCAGGAGGCAGCTGATTGATGATGTTTCTATCTCATCAATATTTCTCTCTCTCTCTCTCTCTCTCTCTCTCTCTCCCTCCCTCCCCCCCTTCCTTCCTCTCTCCCTCCCCTCCCCTTCCCTTCTCCCTTCTCCATCTCATTTTCTCCATTCTGCTCTCTCTACAATAAATAAAAAAACACCTTTTAAAGAAACTAAGGGGGAAATGAGGCAGAGAATAAATGACATCTCCCTCTTCCCCAGCTGGGATTAAAGCAGTTCTCTCTCGCTCGTTGTGGAAAGTCTAAGTTGATATATTTTATCCCAAAGTCCTGCCCCTGACCTGTTGGGCCTTTTTTCTGTCAGTTTCACAGGCTTTACGAGAGAACACCTATCCATTCCTGGCCATGATTATGCTGAAGGATCGGAGGATGACTGTGGTGGGACGGCTAGAAGGCCTCATTCAACCTGATGACCTCATTAATCAGCTGACATTTATCATAGATGCAAACCAGACTTACCTGGTGTCAGAACGCCTAGAAAGGTACAGGGGAGTTCCTCTCTAGAACTGAGAGAGAGACCAGCTGACCTTGGGCTCCACAAATCATGACTTCTCTCTCTAAGACAACTTTAAAAACTTTGTCCATTTAGTGTTAAAATAGTTAAGTACTTTGACCTAACTCTCCATCAGATCATCTGTTCTTAGAGATGTGAATCAAAATACAAGACAGGGTTCTGTGCTCAAGAATATAGATTGTGTCATTTAGAATAGCAGGGCCTTGATAGAAAGAGCTTAAATGTAGAAAGAAATGGTTGTAACTCTTTTTCCCATTTTATAAGTAATATATGTTAGTTTTAGAAAATTTGGAAAACATAGAAAAGCTCAAAGAAGAAATTTAAATAATCCTACCACCACTTTGAAAATTTTGGTATATTTTCTTTTAATTATATAGACACACAGACTCCTAATGTACAAACATCATTTTTTGGAGAGAAAATAGGAAATAAACCAGAATGTTACAGTGTTTTCTCTTAGTTTATTAGAACTCTGAATAAGACATTTCTGTGTTTTTCAAATCTTGTAAGATGTATGTATGTGGTTTTTTGGTTTTATGAGGGCGACATATACAAAAATGTGTGGCCCAAAGGGTTCTTTACCTGTAAAATATGCTCTGATGATCATTTTATGACAATAATACTGTGTTACTTTTGTTAGAATTTGGAAAAAATTCTTCTTCTGCCAAATGAAACTGGGAAAAGAGATGGCTTGTTCAGAGTCTGCCATACTCTGCTTTGGAATCCTTTATAGTAGTGTGAAATAGCCCTCTGCCAAGATTGTAAAACTCTTTACCCCCCAAAATGTCAGTGTAAGAAAACACAGAGCTTGGTGAGATTGCCCTTTTCCTTCTGTGCTTTTGATCTGTCTGCAGGGAAGAACGAAATCAGACCCAGGTGCTGAGGCAACAGCAGGATGAGGCCTACCTGGCCTCTCTCAGGGCCGACCAGGAAAAAGAAAGAAAGAAACGCGAGGAGCGAGAGCGGAAGCGGCGGAAGGAGGAGGAAGTGAAACAGCAAAAGCTGGCAGAGGAGAGGCGGCGGCAGGTAATGAACCTGTCTCTACTCCTGATGACTCCCAAACCGGTCTTTTCTATTATTTTTATTGATTTTAGGGAGAGAAACATGACTTGTTGCCTCCCACTTGTCCCTCCAACCAACTGAGCCACACCGACCAGGGCAAACCGGTCTCTTCTTGAGTGTGAAAGGAAAAATACCAGAAGATTATGGGATTGTGGGTGATTTAAACTCTCTTTGCCATTTATATGTTCACTACATTTTCACCAAAAGTCTTTTAAAATTTATAAAAATTTTAGCCCTAGCTGGTTTGGCTCACTGGATAGAGCGTCGGGCTGGAGACTGAAGGGTCCCAGGGCATGTACCTTGGTTGCAGGCACATCCCCAGTGGGGGGTGTGCAGGAGGCAGCTGATCGATGTTTCTCTCTCATCGATGTTTCTAACTCTCTATCCCTCTCCCTTCCTCTCTGTAAAAAATCAATAAAATATATTTAAAAAAATGTTTTAATTAAAAAATACAACAGTGAGTAAAAGGTGAAACAGCGCTATTCCATGAAAAGTAAATGTAGGTAATAAAAAGGTCATGGTGCTGTTTACTCACTGCAGTAATTTTAGGTGCACTTAGCAGCAGTGTTGGCTCCTTTGGTATCCATGTGTGGTCTCGTTTCATATGTATTACCACTTGGCTATAGCCAGTGTTCCTCTATTCATTCCCTTCTTTGGAAGAGTTAATACCCGAATACAGTCAATAAATAGTGTATGTGATGCACTAGTACTTTGAATTTGGTTGTTCTGACTCTTGCCAACAAGTTTTTCTCATATAGTTACTAATTTTTCTTTGGATGCACAAATATATGGTGATTGTATTTCTTGTTTCCCAATTGGAGCCATACCTCACCTTTGCTTTGTGTTCCTACAGAATTTACAGGAGGAAAAGGAAAGGAAGTTGGAGCGCCTGCCCCCTGAGCCTTCCCCTGATGACCCTGAAAGCGTCAAGATTATTTTCAAATTACCCAATGATTCTCGAGTAGAGAGACGATTCCACTTCTCACAGTCGTTAACAGTAAGGACTGCTTAAGTTGTGTGATGAGGATGTAGAGTCTGGCCTGTAGACTTGGAGGCTTTTAAGGAATTGCTAGAGTGTTGTATCTGCTGCTCTGATGAACCGGGGAGGAAGGGGAGTAGAGAGAGAAGGGGGGCAGGAGGAGTGCAGTGAACTGTAGGTGCCTTCAGTTCTAGCTACCAACTCAAAGCTGTATTAAAGGTTCCTTTCATCAGATTTGAACTCAGCTAAGAAAAAGGGTACCTTACCAAGAAGTCCCCACAAGACTGTGTAGAGGTGAGAGGCTCGCCACAGAGCCCACACTGCTCTGTAGAGAAAGCTCTGTGTCTGCTGACCTAGGAGCTCCGGAATTACGCATCTGGATATAAAGGCATATGCACTTCTCACTCAGTTGCCAGCCTCCCTTGCAGGCCATGTGAAGCCCCACTTTGTGGGGCTACCTTGTAAATCTGGCGTCCATAGGTAAATAGTGTTTGTCAGTCCATAAGGAAGTACTTAAAAGCAGAGACTCTTATTAAAGTCTTACAGAATGATGATCAAATTCTCATTCTTTCAGGGTTATTAGATAAGTTTCTTTTTTTGTTAATCCTCACCTGAGGATATTTTTCCATTGATTTTTAGAGAGAGTAGAAGGGAGAGGGAGAGACAGAGACATCAATGTGAGAGGGACACATCAATAGGTTGCCTCCCGCACACACCCCAACCAGGGCCAGGGATCGAGCCTACAACTGAGATATGTGCCCTTTATCAGAATCGAACCCAGGACCCTTCAGCCTGTGGGCCGACGATCTATCCATTGAGAAAACTGGCTAGGGCTTAGATGTGTTTCTTTGGTCAGTTGTCTTAATTTCTAAGCCGCAATTGCTTCATCTGTAACGCAGGTGTAATAAGCACTCTCTAATAGGATAGTTGTTAGGATTAAATTCATATGTATAATGTTGAGCATTGTGCCTGGCTCGTCATAACTCGAATGCTAACTTCTTTTTGGTATTTGTAACCAAAAAGAAGTTTCTGTTTATATTGAGAGTTGATTTTCCAAATTTATAATTGCAATAGATTCTTCCATTTCCTTATTCACTGGAAATAGTCAGGGGTCATTGCATACTAGAAATGAGGATGCATACTAGAAATGTAGTTTGCTAGCACATTCATTACTTCTCCTTGTTTAACTGGAGAAGAGGACATGTTGCAGGATCTTTTATAGAGCTTCAGATAGCCCTCTGTAAAACGGAAGTAATAATCTGCCCTCTGATAACTTTAAACTGAAGATATGTGAGGCACTGTGCTTGTCACTCTAGGGCAGCGGTTCTCAACCTGTGGGTCGCGACCCCTTCACAGGGGTCGCCTAAGACCATCGGAAAACATATATATAATTACATATTGTTTTTGTGATTAATCACTATGCTTTAATTATGTTCAATTTGTAACAATGAAATTGGGGGTCACCACAACATGAGGAACTGTATTAAAGGGTCGCGGCATTAGGAAGGTTGAGAACCACTGCTCTGGGGTTATCCTGATGAGTGAGTATGTGGTTCTGGAATTCATGGAACTTTCTGGCCAGTAGGGAATGTAAGATTCAAAGAGCTAATATACAGTAAAAAATTATGAGCCAGCCTGGTGAGTGAGAAGCAATAGCGTCCTCATTTTATTTCTCATTTATGTATATGGGGACAATGCTCACGTGGCTGACTTTGGAGTTTTTAAATTGGGATAAAATAAACAAGCTTCACACAGCACCTACCATGTAGTAGGTGGTTGCTAAGTGATATCCTTTCCCTGGTGTTTCCTAACCGCTGGTTTGCACATGGCGTTTAGCTTGCAGCTGTGTTCACTAACAGCTTCCCTGTGGTGTGCGGGAGCTCCTGCTCCCAAACTCTCATTAGGAATGAGACAAACCCAACCAAGACTTACTCTCTAGGGAGTTTTGCAGGACAACCTGTTGTAATTGTGGAACAGAATAGGCTTGTGGCTAAGGGGAAGCAACCCATTTGTTAATTATATTTAATCCTTAACAGATTCTCAGTAAAAATTATTTTAAAAATAAAAAACAAACTCCAGACTGAGAAATACTTGGTCGTAAATGGGGACAAGGCTCAGGGGTGGGAAAGAAGTGTAGTGGCAGTTCTGGCCTTTAATTGAACACTCATCTAGTTAATAAGCTACAGCTGAATAATTGGTACTTGTGTCATCTTCCTGTGAGCTCTGCCCTTCATAAATAACCTCAAGGAGGGGTGAATGTTCAGTGAGATGGTCAATTTGACCTTAATGCCCAGCTCTTGATAGTGGTAAAATGCTAAAATAACAAAGGGTAAACTGTAGAATAATCTCTAGGCTCCATGAGTGGGCAGAAAAGTGGCAGCCGACTTTCTCTTAAATGATGCATCTGCAAGAGAATCCAAATTATACTCAGCCCAGAACTCATTTTTTACCAATTACAAATCCAAAGGACCTCTTGTGGTGGTGTCATCTGTTTCCTGTTGCCCATTGTCAGTGGTAACAAAAAATGCCAGTTTTGTACCAAGGTTGAGAACGGTAGTCCCCCTTTATCTGTTGTTTCAATCACCCATGATCAATTGCAGTCCGAAAATATTAAATTCCAGAAATAAAAAATTCATAAGTTTTAAGTTATATACTGTTCCGAGTAGCATGATGAAATTTTTCTCTGCCCTGCTCAGGACATGAATTATCCTTCTGTCTAGCATAGCCATGCTGTATACCTCCCTGCCCCATTCTTGGTTGTCAGAGAGAGAGAGAGAGAGAGAGAGAGACCACATTTATGTAACTTTTATTATAGTATATTATTATAATTATTCTACTTTATGATTGTTGTTAATCTCTTATTGTGCTTAATTTCTAAGTTAAACTTTATCATAAGTATGCCTGTATAGCATGTATAGGGGTTCAATACTATCCACAGTTTCAAGCATCCATTGGGGGTCTTGGAACATATCCCCCAGGATAACGAGACTGCTGCATTCTCAAACAATGACTGAAAAGAAGGAAAATATTATTTCACCCTTACATAAAACCCATGTTGGATTCATACCAAGAATACTTGGTACAAGTCTGATTGCATCTCAGAAAAGATAGAGTGAATGCTAAGAGAAGGGAATGAAAATGATTAATGTTGACAAACTAAAATATAGAAAGTTGAAATTGCCCTGACCGGATTGGCTCAGTGGATAGAGAGTCGGCCTGCGGACTGAAGGGTCCCGGGTTCGATTCCGGTCAAGGGCATGTACCTTGGTTGCAGGCACATCCCCAGTGGGGGTGTGCAGGAGGCAGCTGATGTTTCTAGCTTTCTTTCCCTCACCCTTCCTCTCTGTAAAAAATCAATAAAATATATTTTTTTTAAAAAAAAGTTGAAATTATGAAGGAATTAGAGGACCATGGGTTTACTCCTAAAATCCTGGAATTACAGCCCTTTCACTGCTCTAAGGAGGTAAGTTTAAGACAGATGAAGAAAGAACTTCCCACAGAGCGGAATAAGCTTATGACAGGTGGCACAAAAAATAGAAATCGATTCCCTCCAAAAGTAAGGATAATTTGAATGTTGTGTTCCTGATCTTTGGGATTGACCTGCAGGAGAGGAACAATGGCTTCACGGCATCTCCCTTAGCGTCTTTGTTAGACATAGAGAATATCTAGGGTACCTGTTCTTAGTGTGTGGCATACAATTACCTGTGCCTCGTCAGAGCCAGAGCAGGGTGAGAAGAGCATTCCCACAGAAGAAAGGTTGACATGGAGGGTCTCGATCAAATTAAGGAGTTAAGGAGGGTGTCCTTATGGGGACAGCCAGTGCAGAGAAGTCAGAGTCCAAGTAGCCCGGGGTGTGTTGGGGTGTTAAAGCCAGAACCGGGTAAGGAGGGGGGAGAGCTCACGGTTTTCGATATATGTGTACAGCAATGTAGATGTGTAGTATACATATAGTATACATATTTTCTCCAGAGTGCTTGGGAGCAGCAGCACCCAAATAGCAACGAACATACCTAGCACCTAGAATGTGGCTGTCCATACCATTTTCATTAAGAAGAATCAGGGATCATTGGAAAATGGCTGATTCCAGGGCTGGGACAGGGAAAACGCAAGATGAGCCTGAACACTTTGTGCCTGAAAGCAAGTAATTATTCAGAGAGCAAAGGAGACATGTCACCAAGACACAGGAGCCAGCTTAAATGGGCTCCTTCTGACTCCATCTGGAATAATTTGAACATTAAATAATGATTGTAATATTATAACTTACTGAATAAAATAGGAAATCATGACTCTATAATAATAAATAGAAAGTGTGAGGAACAGAATGTTTCCATAGTTTCAAAGTACTGCCCCACAAAATACTCATTAAATACAAAGGGTAAAAGAGTATCTTCGATAGGGAAGCCTGGCAGGTGATCTAAGTGAGTATCACAAGGAATAGAACCAGGAGAAACTGCTCCACCGGAGTAGGACAATTGAGTGGAATGCAGTCGGGTTATCCACGACTTCTTATTCTCCTTGAAAGAAAGAGGCATAACTGAAATAACAGAATAACGCCCGGTAATCTTTAGACGGGTCAAGGTCAGAAAAGACCGAGAATTTGCTCCAGGCTAAAGGAGATAGGAGATGTGACAGCTAAATGGAACACACAGTTCTAAACTGGAGGATTTTGCTATAAACGGCAGCTGGTGAAACTCGAGTGGGGCCTGAATAATAACTAAATCAGTTAAATTTCCTGATTTTGAGGGCTGTGTTGTAGTTATGTAGGAGTGTCCTGTTTGTAAGACATACACACTATTCTAGGGTGAGGAGACATCAGGCTGGGAGCTCGCTCTCAACTGGTTCAGAGGAAAAGCACCTCTGTGTCCTATACTTCCAACTTTTCTGTGAGTCTGTGATTTTTTTTTTTTTAAATCTTCACCTGAGGATATGTTTTTGATTTTAGAGAAAGAGGAAGTGGGGGGGGGGGGGAGAAACATCGATGTGAGAGGGAAACCTTGGTTGGTTGCCTCCCATACGCACCCCGACTGGGAATCAAACCCACAACCTAGGTATTTGCCCTGATCAGGAATTGGACCTGTAGCCTTTTGGTGTATGGGACAGCGCTCTGACCAACTGAGTCACCTGACCAGGGCTTCGATGATTACTGAGTAAACATTTTTTTAGCTTTGTATCAGACAAGTTGTCAAAGAAGAAACAGATGAATCAGTTCAGAGTAGGACTAGCTTTGGGCTGTGTAATAAATCTCTTTAAGAAGCTGCCCTATTGCCCAGCCAGTGTGGCTCAGTGTGTCCACCTATGAACCAGGCACGATTCCCAGTCAGGGCACATGCCCGGGTTGTGGGCTTGATCGCCAGTGTGGGGCGTGCAGGAGGTGGCCAATTAAGGATTCTCTCTCATCATCGGTGTTTCTATCCCTCCCTCTCCCTTCTTCTCTGATATATATGTTTGTTTGTTTTTTAAAAAGCTGCTCTATGAATTTGCTCTGTGAAATGGCAAGACCTTGAAGTAGAATTCCAGTGTAATGTGATTACTTCATGTCTCAGAGTCAGCCTAGGGATAGCTGGGGGATATTTGATTTCGTGGTGGTATGTGTGTATCTGTCTTTTTCTCACTGCTCTTCATTTTCTGTATGACCTCTTCAGGTTATCCACGACTTCTTATTCTCCTTGAAAGAAAGCCCTGAAAAGTTTCAGATCGAAGCCAACTTTCCCCGGCGGGTGCTGCCTTGCATCCCTTCAGAGGAGTGGCCCAACCCCCCGACGCTGCAGGAGGCCGGACTCAGCCACACAGAAGTTCTCTTTGTTCAGGACCTAACAGACGAATGACACCGTTTCTTCCTCTCCCCTCCCACCCCAATTCCTAAAAGAAATGGAAAAGAAACAAAAAAAAAGAAAAATTCACATTATTATTATTATAATACAATATTTTTTTTAAAGACTGCTGCATCCTAAGGAAGGATCAGAAACCATGCTGCCTGCAAGAGTCACCACCTGTGTGCGCGCGAGGTTAGTGATGAACGTTCCGCCGGCAGCCACCTTCCCCTACTGCCTTCGCACCACACACCTTCCAGCGAAAGGAGGCTCTTCACCTCCAACCCCGCCATTGTCCCAGCGGGGACGGGGACATTCCCACTAGTTCTCATTCATTCTTGCTTTTATGGAAAATAAAAGTGACAAACCTCCATCCACCAGCTACTGCAGCCTCTCTAAGGACTTGTTTTCCTGCCTCCAGGGAAGAGAAGGCACAGAGCAGAGATGTTCTTTAACTTCCCACAATTTATGAATAACTTCTACTTTTTTTTTTTTTTTAGTTGCTTTGTAATGACCAAAGGAATGAGGCTGACATGGGTGTATTTTTTCCCCCTTTATTTGATAAAGCGCCAATTCTTAAACCCATGACATGATTCATCCCCTGGGCTTAGCCCACAAGAGTATAATAAAGATGCCCTGGGCTGGTTTGTGCTTATTTCTGCCATTGCCCTCGAGTTCCCAGAGAGGTCGTTCTTTTTGGTCCAACTCTTTTTTGCTGTCCTTTCTTGCCACCTATGCACCCCACGTGGAGTAGTGAGGGGAAATCTGGGTTTGTAGCCCTTGTGATGTACAGATGTATCTACATGTGCGGTGTGAACTCCATGTGTACTCACCTGTACACACCACTGCAGCTTTTCCTTGGAATCTGTACCAGGTGGTTATTACGGGGTCTGCACCAAAGGATAGTAGCCCTTCATTCCTCTTCATGTGCATGCTGTTCCTGCCCAGCCCTAGCTTTCTTGAATTGCCAAGCTTGGTGCCTTTCCAGAGGACTAGCAGGGCCCGTGGTGGAACCAGCAGACCCATGTGAGAGTGCCCTTCCTGCCTAGTGGGTGTGTGGTGATGGTGGTGGTGGTACTTTAAGGGTAGAAAGAATAGAGGCCTTGAACTCTTAGAAGGCAGATTTCAGTTTCTAATGTGTCCACCTGCTGGAGGCAGTTTTTATCCTCTTCCTCTATTGCTGTGTTAAAGTAATAGGGCTTTTTAACCTCTGGATGTCTCGTCTGTGGTTGAGTTTATAGTAATGGGTACATGGGTCAGGCCATGTATTAACAGATGCCAGCATGAGCTGACAAGTATTCCAAAGTGTTCTGTGGCTAGACTGGTGCACTCGCAACACTGCAACCTCCTGAAGTTACGCTAGTTCCTAGCATGCTGTGAGACCAAGGGGTTCGTATCAAGATACAGCATCACCTGCTGGATCTGTAGTCTCCAAAAGCTTTCTCTGTTGCTTACCTAAAACCTGAGGACCACTCTTAGGTAGCAGTAACTTGGCTACTATTCTCTTCAGCCTCAATGGTTGGGGTGCACACCCAGGGGCAGGTTGAGGAGCCTCATGGATATCACCTAAGGAGCCTGAGGATTTTCCAGTGGTCTTGGCATGGGTATCTAGAACATCATCTCTAGAAAATTTAATTCTGCTCCTGGCTGCCTATTATTCCACTTTTTCCTGCTGTTCTGAGGCCATATGAGCGGGAAAGCGCTGTCTGTTGTCATAAAATGTATCTGGAGTGAATACCTGGATAAACCATGTTTTCCTCTCAACCTGGGGTGAATTCTGCCTCCTGCTCACAACTATGCAAAGAGGAATTTTCCCACTTCACTAAGCGCCTCCCTCCCCAATGAGTTCACAGCTGATTCCCTGCCAGTACGGTGGGGGGAGGGGGGTGTGTCTTAGGACATTGGCCAGGCTGGTGGTACTGTCTTGTCCATACCTCTTTGGGAAGTTGTAATTTTTTTCCCTTAATAATTCAAGCTGCATCTTATTCTACAATGTGCACTTTATGCCTCTTGCCTTTTGATAACTTGTTCAGTGAAGGAGGTCAGATGCAAGAATATTACAAAGTTTCAGTTTGGTCGGTACAATTTGTGGTACAACTCTTGAGACAGCCTATGCCTTTAGGCTTCCAGAGGCTTCTGAAGCACATGCTTCTTTCCTAGTCCTTGTTGCAATAACCCAGACTCCATTCCTGTCCCCTTGCTGGCCCTAGAGCTGCTGCCCAGGTGCCCTCTCCTCCTCCCTGAAAGATGCACATTTTGTCAACGTCAGTACAATCTGTATATTACTCCCAAGGATCTCTGGGAACTCGATGGGACCTGCAAGGGAGAAAATACTGAGAAGCCAGTGATCTGCAAGCATTTGCTCTTGTTTCACATCACCTCTGGGTATTAACAGCTGTTGTTTCCAAATGGCAAGTCATCAACTAAGTGAAAACACTTGTTTCAAGTTTCCTTCTGCACTCCCAAGACCAAAGTTGTAGATTCAGCTGCATGACCATGGAAATGACCAAGCGAAGACACCCGGTCGGAGTTAGTTGAATTTCTGCAGCTCAGTGGGGGCCCTTCCAGTGTTCTCTTCTACTTCTGCAAAATTTCCTGCAGCAAATACTTCTTTCTCTTTGCTTGCCTCCACTATGATGTTTGGATAAGAGATGGCCAGGGGAGAATATTTATCTCTTAAAAAAAAAAAGGTTAAAAAGAACCTAGGAAATCTTCAACTGAGCAGTTATGAAAATTGCTAATGGTGCCAAGGCCAAGGAAAGAATTGCAGGAAATGACAATGGGAAGGAGTGGTAACCCCCCAGAATGCAAAATCGGGGGAGTATTTCTGGTGCTTGAACAAGAAGCTCCACTTCACAACCGGTTTTTTAGGACTTGTGAGGAAAGCAGCAACAGGAAATCCATCCACAAAGGATGCAGTGCCCCAGCTCGGACTGCACCTGAATAGTTACGTGTAATTTACTGAAGAAATCTAGTGTACTTTAAATTTTTTTCATAAAAGTTTACATTGTATTGTAGGTTAACATTAAATGTTTTATAACAAAAAATGTTATAAGTCGTGGGTCTTTCTGTCTAGGAGAGAGGTGGTAGGTAATTTTCTATGTGAAGGAATGGTGGGGAAACATTGGGAGGGAACAGGGCATTGTGTCGCCAAGAAGCAAGGGAGAATCAGAAGCGTGGACTTTAAGTGGACCTAGATGCATTTCTGTGAAAAACAGCAACTCGGCAGAGTGGTGTAGCAGAAAGCAGGCAGGTCTGGCTGCAGGTGTGGGCTCCTTTGTCAGCTTTGCTCTTCAGCTTCCCTGAGCTTTCATTTCCATGAAGGTAAGGCCATCTTCCTTGGTGTAGGATTGTAGATTAAATGAAAGAAATGTGCATGGAGCACCCGTCCCAGAGGTGTTCTTTCTCCGTGGGAGTATATTTTGAAGGACTATTTTCATGCAGCAGTAGTTTCGGGGGAGGGGGGGGAGGTCATTTCTGGCAGAATCGACCTGTGTCCTTGCAGAGGAGTGACTAGAGAGTCACTTTTGATCTAACAAATTCTGGACTAATGGAACTCCCCGCCTAAGGTGTTTTTGCATATATTTTCATTTCTGAGAGAAAATTTAAGCCTCAGTTCTTCGCCTTTTCTCTTCCCCATTGTCCTTTGCAAAGAACCCATTCCTGTGAGTTACAGGTTCTTGTCACCTTCAGGGCCTGCCCTGTTTGCTTATCCAAAGATGTGAGGCCTTCATTTTGTAATGTACATCTTCAGTGTAAACTAGAAGGTCTTCTGTGAACCTTAACATATAAAAATTTGGCTCTCAGTTAACAGAGAACAGGAAGATTCAAATCCTGATGCCAGATACTCCTGGTCCCAAATCCTGCCTGTGGCCATGATTTTAGCGAAGTGACCTCAACTATAGGCTTCAGTGTCACGTAAAATCGGACCAACTGTAGCATGGCTGTTGATCACTGAACTGCTACCGAGGGCCTGGCACGCAGTAGGCATTAGGTAAATAATACCTCCCGTTACTGTTTCAGATCAGTTTGTAGTTTGCCCACTGCTATTGGTTCACCCTAGGTGTGGTTAAGTGGAGGGGAGAGAAAGCTTGGCTTGCAGTGATTCTCAACCTTCCTAATGCCGCGACCCTTTAACACAGTTCCTCATGTTGTGGTGACCCCCAACCATAAAATTATTTTCGTTGCTACTTCATAACTGTAATTTTGCTACTGTGATGAATTGTAATGTAAATATCTGATATGCAGGATGTATTTTCAGGGGTCGCGACCCACAGGTTGAGAACCGCTGGCTTAGGGGGAGCAGCGTATGCCAGACACTTGACATGCCTCCGGTGTTGCAGGTGGAATTCCTTGTGTGCTTTTACCCCGATGGAGCCAGGCTTCCCCACAGTCCCTTCCTCCGCCTGTGAACTCAGCTAACAGTGCTGAGCCTCTCCCACCTCCCACAGTCCTACCCTCCTGTCCACCCCCTGGCTAACTCTCAGAATGGTGTCTAGAACTCCCAGGTTTCTTCCCTTTAAACTGAAACATGGTTTCCCCCTGAAGACACCACTTCAAAAAACCCTTAAGCAGGTGCCACTCATTTTCCCACGAACCTTGGCACCAGGAGGCAGGCTCTGTGTTTCCCTCCTGCCACCTTGGTGCACTGCCCTGCAGCACGTGCCATCTGCCGGGACTCTCCCGTTCCCTTGCTGCTGGCCAGTCCCAGATGTTGGCAGTTGACACTCGACCACAACCTAGGTGACACATCTCCCCGTGTGGGTTCTCCAAACGGCTCCTGATGTGACAGGCAGCTGAGTGTGGTGGGAAGAGGCTTTGGCGTCAAATCTGGCTTTGAAACAGCCCTGCTGCTTGCTGACTGATGAGGGCAAGTCTCATAATGTAAACATCATGGGACTAAATCCTCGCAAGGTTCAGGTGCCCTTAAATGGGCTGGTATCTGAAGTGCCTGGCGGTGGGCAGATGGGAGCTGAGTGAAGGTTGGCTTCCTTCCCTCTGTCCCCAGCAGTGCCATGCTTTGTGTGGCCTTCACTTGGAACTGCTTCGCCTCAGGACCTCAGAACCAACCCCTCGCTGACCATCGGCTTGATGGTTCCAACTCTACTGTCCCTTCTCTGCCCTCAAAGCCTTTGTCCCTCCTGCTCACCTCAGTTCTCTGCTAGAACTGTCTTGGACTCACGCCCCTCTCCACTATAAGCCAGAACTCAGTCACAATTTCTAAAGTCAACTCAGCTGTTAAGCTGCAGACTCCTAGCACCTGTCAGCGAAATGAGGAGCCCTGGGTTGGTGCCCACAGCTTGGATCCAGCTCTAGGGAACTCCCTGAGTGTTTCTACTACCTGGGTGCCGCTCCACTGTGCCCCCCACCGCCAGGTCCGAGCCACTGCATCCTTTTACACCAGCCTGGTCACTACAACAGCCTGCTTCCTGAGAAAACCAAGGTCTTGTCACAGACTTCTCTTTTTTACCTTAAAATTGTTCTGTGATGTCACCTGTTTCCTCTTTCTCTTGTGGGTATATTTTCTTTTAAAAACAGATCATTTACACACAGTAAAATGTCCAGATCTTAAATCTACAGCTTGATAAAAAGGGTTTTTTGGTTAATCCTCACCAGAGGATATTTTTTCCATTATTTTACAGAGAGTGGGAGGGAGGGAGAGAGGGAGGGGAGGGGCAGAGAGAGAGAAAGAAACATCAACTGGTTGCCTCCCATACACACCCCCCACCAGGGGTGGGAGCGAACCTTGAAACCCCAGGTACAGTGGGGCCTTGACTTACGAGTTTAATTCGTTCCCGTGACGGAGCTCGTAACTCAAATTACTCGTATGTCAAATCAAGACACGTGATGCTGGGCTGATGTTGTGGCGTTCACTGTGACGTTCGCTGCGCCAACTAGCGGTGGGGTATCTGAAGCTGGCTCGTAACCCGAATTTTAGCTCGCAACTCAAAGCAAAAAATCGGCCGAGAGAGGCTCGTATCTCGAAAAACTCGTTAGTCGGGACACTTGTAAGTCAAGGCCCCACTGTACGTCCCCTTGACTGGGAATCAAACCCAAGACCCTAACCATGGAGCAACACCAGCCAGGGCGCTTGATACAATTTTACCTGTGTACCCCCAAAACCAAGATGCAGAATGCTTCCATCACCCCAGAAAGTCCCCCTCCCCATGTCTTCTCCATCAGTAGCCCTGCAGAGAGCCACTATTCTTCTTTTACCATAGACGTTTTGCCTGTTTTTAAAGTTCATATAAATGGACTCGTGTGTAAATGATTTTATAAATGTTTTCCTGATTCAGGTACTTTCCTATTTATGACAGAAAAATTTAGAAAATGAGAAGAAACAAAACATTTCATAATACCACACTGCCAGAGATGTCCATTGTTAATATTCTTCCTAGACTTTATTGTATATAAAACTTCATTTATCTCTATTTGACACATTTCTTTTATATCTTTTTAATGGCTATGCAGCATTTCACTGAATGGATATACCATAAATTGATAAAAATCCTCTTGTGAATTTAGGTTATTAAACTTTTTTTTTTTTTTTGCTTTTCTAAATAGCAGGCTGATAATCTTGCAGTTAAATGTGCATGTCCGTGCTATTTTTTCAGGAAAAGTAAAAATCCAGGATGTGAGGTTACTGAGTCAAAATAGGAATGGAAATTTTTCCTTTTTT